CGTTCAGAGAAAAACGAACCTCAAAGCACTATGAGTGGTAAGGGAAAGTTCTCCGTAGATTTAAGGTCGTGCTACACAAATGCCTGCAGCCTCCTAAATAAAATAGCGGAGCTGAAGACTATGGCGTCCGTAGAAAAACCGGATGTTATCGCCAACTCAGAAAGATGGTTAACATGAGAATTATTCGATAATGAGAGTCAGTTGACTTGTTTTTTATTCAGTAGAGCTGATATATTAAACTGTATGGAAGGCGGGGTTATCCTGTACACGCAAAGTGCCATAACCATAGAAGCAGTTGATACAATGGCCTATGACTCAGGGAAATGTGAACTGGCGCGTTGCCAGCTGAAATGTAGACGACAATATATTGAATTGATTGTAGTATATCACAGTCCAGAATGTGTAGTCCATGACTTCTTCCTGAGCTGACTTAAATCCTAGTGTAATACGAGTAATAGCATTAAAGTACGAGACTTAATGCATCATATATAAACTTGGTATACTTGGAAGTAGGGTCATAGATAATACCTTTCGATTGCAAACTGTTAGAAACCTCAATTGAAATATCCTGATTCCAATACATTAGAGTTCCCACCAGATATGAATGACGTAGCCTCGCTTCCCTATTGGACTTCGTCTTCAAAAACAGTGATCACGTCGGTCAAATGGCATTTCTTTTATATCTATGGAGAAGCGATCATGCAATCTTCTTATTCAAGGTTATGTCTGGGATGGCCTGTCAAACAGTTGCGCAGCCCGTATTAACATTTGGAAGGCAGACATGGAGGCGCACAACTCTGCAGCATCGGTTGAAAACTGTGACTCATTTCAGGCAGTTATACAATCGGATGATTCAACCATATATACCCTGGACAATACCAAAAACGAAGCACGGTCATCCCTGGATAGGTCAGGATATTCGACGTTTACTAAGACAAAAGAAGAAATGTTGTAATGTTGCCATCAGTCTTGGAACGGCAGGTACGATGGAACGTTACTAGGTGGTAAGAAACAACGGTATAGTTAAAATCCGGGAAGCTCAAGGTAAATATGAAATGCAGTTAGCACAACCTGCACTCAAGCAGCCTAAGAGAATATTCTCGTACATAAATTACCAAACAATGATTCGTCAGTGGATTCCTAACCCACCTAAAGAAGGGAGTGAGTCTAAAATGATAGAGGAAAATCAGGAAAAAGCAGAAGCTATGACAAACTACTTTTAGTTAATTTTCACACAGTAAGCTATTCTAGACGAAGAACTAGACCCAACTACAAAGTCAACAAACCGCCGGCCTACCGTGGACTTTGATCGAGACGATGTACTTAAGGCTATTCGCACCTTGGACATGGAAAGGTCAACAAAACTGGATAAACTACACCCCAAAATCCTGAGACATATTGCACATCTCGCAGCTTCATTGATTGTGATGTTCAATATGTCACTTGACCAAGGTGTGTAACTTATTGACTGGAAGGACGCAGTCGTCACTCCCATACATAAAACAGTACCAAGACAACTTCCATCGAGCTACAGACCTGTAGGCCTCACCGGTGTTGTAGTTAAAATATTAAGAAGTTGAAAGCGCCATAATGACTTTTATGGAAACCAACAACTTGTTAAATAGAAAAAAACTGTTCCAGAAGGGCACTATCATGCACTTTAAATTTCCCTATGGCAATGGGACGGCGAACAAAAGCGATAGATAACGGAAACTAAGTGGATGTTGTCTACATAGATTTCAGCAAGGCATTTGACAATGTGCCAACAAATATTCTGCTATTAAAGTCAGAAAGTTTTACGATTGTCGCACCTCTCTTAAAATGGCCTAAGGATTCCTAAAGAGAAAGTAAGAATAAATTTCAAGTGATCCATCTGGAGTACATCAAGGTTCTGTCCTACGTCCTTTAATTTTTATACACTCAAGTATTGTACAGTCCCTAGTGTTATTATACACTGACGATGAAAAAGTCTGGCGAGTAATAACTGGAGGCGCAGATGGATGTGCTATTCAAGCAGACTTAAATAATATGATTGTTTGGTCTACAGAGTGGCCGATGCATATTAACGCGGCAAAGTGTGTCTACATGCACTTTGAAGACAATGATTATTAGTTACAGCATATGGGAAGTGCCAGTACCCATGATCCGGCCTCATAAGGATCTAGGGATGACAGTGAGTCATAATCTTAAGACGACGGTTCATTGCCGTGAGGTCTCAGCTAAAAGGTTAAGAACCATCCGAGCTTTTATACGGACATCCACTTAGTTAGATACTTCCATGTTCATCACAGTATACAAAACCTAAGTGAGAATTAAGATTGAGAATTGTGTTCAGGCTGGAAGCCTCTGATTAAAAGGTGAATCGGATATCCTGGAAAAAACATAGAGGGCATCGATCTGTGCAATTTTGGAACACCGGGATTTACCAAACGAAGAGCAGCTTGGAATGCTAGAACTCATTACTCTGGTCTATCGCAGACTAAAGGGAGATCTAGTTTTGATGTACAGAATACTGAGAAGTGATTTTGGACACAACTTATTCTCTCTTTTTCTTCCCACTAGGTGGGGACATCTCAGAGGACACAGCAGGCGAGTGGAAAAGTCAAGAACGAATAAAATACCCTTGGCATACATGTTTTCACACCGATTCATTAATTCTCGGAACCTGTATCCTGAATCAGTGTTGTGAGTACCTTCAACTGACTCATTCAGAGAATACTGGACACTCACAGAAGCATACTAGAGAAGGAATAACATATGCCGTAGGTCTTTTGCCACTACTACACAAATCTTTACTGATATCAATATATAACATGATTGCCGGTTGCTTCTAGAAACGGATGTGGAAAACTATAGAAACTTTAGAATATCTTACAAATATTTCGTTCGCAGCCTTTTTCTTCTGAAGCCATGTTGCAGGACGTCAACTAGACCTTCTCTTAGTATATGTACGGATAACAACCTTTTTTCAATTTCTTCAATATCTGTAAGACGACTGTGGTGACATTAGTCTGCCTGTAGTTCAGGACTAAGTTCTTGGCCCTGAATTTTGTTGAGGGTTCACACATTTTACCTTCCATGCTTGAATGTATGTGTCAGCTACTAAATATATTGTACACATTTCGAGAAAATAGCATCTGTAAATCTGGTCCTGCCATTTCGTAGATATTCGGTTAGATTTCATCTGCTTCCCAGAACGCGCTCGATTCGCATAAGGGTTTTAATGGCAGCAATGAAATCGGTGAGGGAAAATCCAGTGTTGATGAGGTTATTCTCTTTGATACGAATATCTGATGCACGAGAGATTCCTTTAGTAGTTTATAGATGACATTATGGTCATCATATGTAAATCTATCATGCTATGCAGGATAAATTTAATAATCTACACTCTATTTACGTACTTCTTGATCGGAAACAGAAGTGAGTAATGGACATACTTGAAGATGGCACAGGTATTCACTGTTTGACAACGCTTTTACCAGCAACACCTAATATAATTCGTACCCACCAAGAGAAATCAAAAGACAGAGTCGAGGAGATCGGAAGAGTGTATTTGGCGATAACCAATATATCGGAATTGTCTGATCTAATCTTGCTAGCGATTGCGGTTGCATGACTGAGCGCCTTCAGCTAGATGGGTCCACTAAAACTAATCTGGTCAGCTTCCAACGTCGAAAACCTACAGAGCTATTTATTTTTGGGATTTATTTACCGCTACATACTGATGGTTGCTCATATCTTTCATACCGACTTTTCACATGCACAAGTAAACGTCAGTTTGATGCATGACAATACCGTCCATTAATTCCAAACACGTTTATGTCTTCGTAGCTTTGCTTTGGTTTTTGCTGATACAAGGAGTTATTTTCCTAAAAATAGTTCTTGTGAGGGGAAAGGTGTCCACTAAATATTTATTGGTAATAGTGAACGTACTTTGTGTATCCGTTTGTCACTAATTAAAAATTTGCTCCAATCAGAAGGCTCTATTAGGATTTGACATTTTTTCCTCCCAGCAGATACAGCCTCTACATTGAAAAATCTGTTTTCGATTCGGATAGATTACATTTCGCAAGATATGGTAAAGTCTTACGATCACTGTCACGCAACATTTCACCGACCACAATATATGTCAGAGCAACGTCGTGACAGAACATGAAGTTCGGAATAGTGTGAATATTTGGCAAGTGCATGCCGCCAGCCATGCATGTCTAAGCATATAAACCTGTTTTTAAAAGGTATTACTCCAATATCCTTCCAATAATGTTTAGCAAGTTGAAATCATTGCAGACAAATCTAAATTTGAACGAGAGGATGCGACCATGGCGAAGAACTCATTCATAGTGTTTCTAATTGAATCAGGACTGTTTATGCCACTATAGGTAGTGAGTTATAATCACGCACATGTGCACTATGTATCAACTCGAGTTATCAGCAGACAAAAGGAGTACTCTATATATGTCTGTTCTCGTTTTTCTAGACGTGTATCCAACTACCGCTCCAAACTTTAGGCTGGGATTGAAATAAACTTAGCATGTACAACATAAAAATAATTAAAAGGCGCTGTCACAGAAAATCAAACTTCGCTATCACCATTTTGTCATTACGTCACAACTACTCCCGCAATTCACCCGTCAATCCAAGCTATGGTAGAATTGAATATCTCTAGCTAGTGTCTGCATTATGGAAGATGAGTACGCTCTCCAACGGGAGAACCGTTTATCTGCAAGACATCTGGTGAACTATTTCGAGAGCAGTAAGCCACACATACAACTTTCAGCGTCTCATCTTGGTAACCCTAACAGTCTTACACTGTCAGTTGAGAAGCGAATGTCAGCCTAGAAATGCTTGGGGGTGTTAGATAAAATGACATGTCATCAACTACTTTAGTGTATCCAGTTACCGAACACGTAACGATGACAACAAACCTACTGACTTATAAAATAATGTGGTAAGATTTAAAAGCTATGTGTATATCCCATACAGACGAAAGTTAACGCAACTCCAAGGTAATATCAAATTTTATTTTATAAAGTTAGTGAAAATAAATTAGGCCTATATAACACAACAAATATTATTTTTTCTTCGCTTGAAGACCGGCACCAGCATTGAATTTAAACAATATAATATCCCCATCCTCAACAATATATTCCCGTCCTTTCTGTTTGTATTTGCCAGCAGCCTAATAAAACAATAGAGTATAGAACATATTGACCAAAGGAGCAAAACTGAACAACAATCATGAAACGGTCTAATATATAACGAGAATTGAAGTCTGTATGGCGTTTAGCAAAGTATCATATGCACTTCTGTTTTATATATATACTGACGAAAATTTACCATTCTAGTAAATAATAAGATGTATGGAAGATTGTTAATTGATTTTACTACTTGGATTTCACTCAGTAGGTCACAAGTCCAATTCTCTATCCACCGATGGGAAGTCAAATCAATGTTTAGAATACAATTTGAATCAGGACAATTAATCTTATCTCGTGTATTCTTTTCTGTTACACCAATTGATAATGGTAGTATATATTCTTTTTGTATAAAACCGCATAATTTAAGCAACTAGATGAAAGTAGTTGTTTTCACTTTGATTAGTTTGGTCGAATAATGTAACTCAACCCATATTGATTAACCAAAAAAGCATACACCATGTTCGTTAAACGGAAAATTCAATCATAGAAAACCAATAAATACTTGGCCCCCAAATGCCCTAAATATGGCCAAGAGTGGGGAGAGTCTGCTCTCCCTCACGAAATGCTCTCACATGGCCACGCGTATATAGCCTCTGCCAGGGAAGTCCTACTCACTGCCTTCTCGTGGCGGGGGTGTTGTTTACGAAAATGAGAGGACGAAAAGCGAATGTCCGGTGTTTTATCCGGATCCAAACCCATGGTGCACATGGGCTCCAGTATCCTGTGGGAACAAATGGCGCATGAACCAATTGTTGGTCACCGGCTACCATGGGACTGCATCTCCTTACGTTGCTCCACTGCCTTGTGGATCAGACCTTCAGGTCGAAGGCTCGGGGAGTGGCCCCCTAAGGAAACCACCTGTTTCGGTTTGGGCACCCGGGCAGTATCCCAGCCCTCACACATATCGAATGAGATTTGTGTGGCGCATATGTATTTGGTGCCTCCTTGTACCAATATCCAAGTGTTAAAATAAATAAAAACTTGAAAAAAAACACTATGTATAGTTACTTTGACAGCAGCTTCAGAACCTTCTCCTTTGAAATCTTCATATGACATAACTTCAGCCATGATAAAACCTTTTTCCATATCTGTATGTATTCGACCAGCAGCTTGAGGAGCTTTTGAACCTTTCTAGAACAGTAAAATATAAAGACAATTATTTAGTTGATTTAACTTATTGTTAACACTAAGGTGAACAGAAACGAATACATTTTCGGCTTAACAAAACAAAATCATTCAAAGCTTTATAATAAGGAAATAATAAGTTAAGGTTACACTTTGACACACTAAGGTTTGTTTAGAATACAAATGAATAAAGAATCCAAATAATCTAATTTATAAGAGTTTTTCTAATCATTGCCTTGACTAAGTTTTGGATCAAGGCAGATACATTCAAGTAGGTTGGTTTCAAGTAATACTCTAAATGTAAAAACTACTGATACGACCCCCGAACGTACAACTTAGTGACTGAAAATTAAATGCCATAACCATTGAGAAACACCACCTAGTAGAATGATCGATGACTTGTTGTTTACTATTTATTAATGGTAGAATTCAATCGATCAACTTGTAAGTTAGTTATTCAATATAATGACTGCATTGCAATTTGATTAACATTAAGAATAAAACGAACATTATATTTGTTAGTATTACTCAGTGATCAGCGGGTGTAAATATTTCAATCCTACAGGTTACGGGTTTATTATTATTATTATTATTATTATTATTATTATTATTATTATTATTATTATTATTATTAGCTTTATTCAATATTATAATTTTGGTACAATATAGAATTCTCAGCGCAAAGTATTTCAACAAGTTTCTGTTTCTTTCTTCTTGGTCGGTCCTGGCGATAAATATTGAGGGATCGCCAGTTAGATGTTAGCACTTCAGTGAATGAACAACTGAATAATGTACATTCTTTTCGTTGTATATTGCCAGCAACCATATTGTCTCTTATTGAGTTTTCTGTAACTTTGACAACGAAAGGTTGTACACTTTTCAGAAACGCAGCAGAATAGGTTATGCGATTAATAAACATAATGATATAATAAAACAAACAAAAATAGATAACTTGTTGAAATATCTAGATGGCAGGAACAGGTAGCCCAGATGCTCAAGCAGGCCGCCCTCTGAGATCGTATTACTGAATGACGAAAGAAGTAACAATTCATTTGAAATTGTAGATATGCTTTGTTGATGTATGTCAATCAAGACGATAGAATAGTTTCAAATTTTACATTGACTGCTTTCAAACTGTTTTACAAGGTACTTTACAGTGCTATAACAACAATGATTACTGAATTGGTGTTTTAAACACATACTATCAACTGCAAAACTGATTTTTTTCCCCGGTAAAATTCTTCTATAACAAACCTGTATAGTCCACGCTTTAACTTCATCTTTACCACATGTGAAGAAATATTGTAATTGTAATGTTTGATAACCGATACGAATAATTTTTGGCAACATGGTAGTGAATTCATTTTCTTTCATATAAGCCCCAGCTTCTTCTGGTGACATTTCACTGAGTTTTTGTTCAAGATCAGCAGAGAAAGGAATAATCGCTGCACCGGAATCATGTTCATCAACCCATTCCTTGATTTTTGGTAGCCTGTTGAAAAAAAAAGTCAGTATAATAGACCGGATAGCATATCACTCATAAAATTAATAATACTTTCACAGGAAATCACTAGTTTATACTTTACGTTAAAGAGGAGCATAAAGTCAATATGTCAATCGACACAGATTAAAAAACACTATAAAAAGGATAACAGTTCAGTTTGTTAAAAGAATCACCGATCAATAATGAACAGTAAATAATACAGTCAGCTAGTAACTGTATTATTAATTTCATACCCGGATATCAAGAGACAGAATAACCCCCCACATCTGTACTTGTTACTTTATCATAAGTAAACAAGCTAGTCTTTTGTGACTAACCAGTTCAGCTATTTGACTTGTATACTTTTTTCGTGAGATCCTACTCTGATGGACAGGTTAATTGTAGAGCTGTACGATTAAAGACATACGACTAGAATAAAGTGTAATGTTCTCTACAAATAAACAACATCGCCAATGATGCTATCATTCCAAAAAGGAAACAGAAAATGATCATATTTAAACTTGGCCCAAAGATTTCCAATGGGAGGGGTTCAGGTTTGAAAAGTATAAGGATAACGCGACCAAAATTGCCATCTATTATTTGTCATAGTATTCCCTTTGTATCTGTCGTCACACTTCCAAGTTGGCAAAACTTTTAATATTAATATGGTGTTAAGACCTGGCGAAAACGACTATGGGGTTTTCGGCTGGTGGACAGTAAATTTTATTTACGAGCAACGGACGAGAACACAAGTAAACTCAGATAGACCAAATGTCTGATACATGACATTTCAATGTGATTATTAACTTTTAAGAGAGCGTTATATTAGAAACAGAAGTCAAAAAATGTAAAAGAAACAACTTTGTTTGTAAAGCAACATACAATAACCTTGAGGCACATAAAGTTAGCAAAGTAAAAGCGATTGCGACAACACTATGAATTACGAAAATGTCACCGAAGTTATTATTTTAAGAGAGAACTGAGAGTTAATAATCAAAACAAGACAACTTGAGCTATACTATACATACGATCATTTATTTAAGCCCACTGTTATGTCCCGATAAGTATAATGAATGGTAACTTTTGGGATCCATTTATTAACAAGTTCTATACATATTCGTGTTCCTCTTATTATGAGCTTTATTTTGACGTATGAACTATTATTATACGATTTGCCATTCTTGAATTATGTCTTGACTATTAATTACTACCTCCCACATCCACAGTTACATTTGGCCAAATCTTGTACACATGTTGGTTCCTATTTTATGGTGCAGTGTGGTCTGTCTGGTTGGTATATAAACCCAGTATGTTTGAAATAAATGATTCATATCGCAAAAGCTGAGATTGGTGTTCTGGACTTAACAGGTTGGGCTTGGCAGTAATCAGGACCGACAAGTAGTCTAGACTACTCGTACAGGTTTTATGCGTCTTTGGTCCGATCCATAATTCACTGCTCTCTAATTGGCAGTATCATTACGTATACGTTAACAGGGCACACATGCCACAAGTTACAACACCTACACAGAACAAATATTCTTTAAATATGTATAGTAAGAAGTGTTTTCTATCTGTATACGGCTTAAAAGCAACCCACTAACTGGAGACGAATACTAATTTGAATTATTTTTAGAAAATATAAAGTTTAAAGATGTAAATAATATCTGGCAAAGATAAAAATAAATTTGATGTGGATACATATAAATATGTATATGAAGCGATAGCCTGTTAATCAATGAACACAAATATCAACCCATACGTTTTGAGTTCGAACCCCTCACCATTACCTTGATTTGGATAGCCAAGTGATATCATTAGCTATTTTATGTATAAAGAAGTACTTCTCAAAGTAGGATACATAAATCTATAATTAGTAAGTAAATTCAAATAAATTTTATCAGGTATAATAATGGTAGCCAATTATCTGCTAGGATCGCCGGGTACGTAATAGTGAGATTAGACACCAGAATATTAGAAAATTATGGTAAATCAATTGATAAGGTTATGAATCTTCATCGACTAAAATGGTTGGGCCACGTACTGCGTATGTCCGAACACCGATTACCACGACATGCAATGCTAACTAATGTTAGGGATTGTTGAAAGAAAGTTAGGGGTGGCCAAACCGAAATGTGGCATCAGTCCACAAAGTCACTAACTTCTAGTCTTAATCATGTTGGTAGATGCAGACTATTTGGTTGGGGTCCGCGTGACTATCGTAACTAACGGTTGGAGACTCTTGATGACATGGCTCAGAATCGATCGATCACAATGGCGTCGGTGTATACATTCTCTGTCCTCCCTTAAACTATGAGATTAAAATCGCTTCATATCTTTCTTTCTACGAACTAATCTTTTCTTTCTGTACTATATCCTTATTTGCAATCTTTCTTTTATATATTACCACCATTGAGTTAACTGCTTCTATGAATTCGGTGTTCATCTTGTTGTGCTAATGAGGTAATGGCAACTTGGACCGATGTACATATGTGTCTGGTCCTACGTTGTAGCTGATTGACTGACTGATCTATTAAATAACAGTTTTATAATCTACATATAAACTACGATTGTTATATTGAAATTTGAATCAAATACTTGAAGATATAAGAAGGAAAAAAGTATTTTTTTTTAAATAGGGAACATGAACGCTAAATTATTCAGTAACAACCACAGGAACAACAACAACAACAGCAAATCAACTGTGTTATGTTGTTCATTTATTGAGACTTTTAAAATATTCTAGATATTGAAAATTGAAATTCAATTATTTAAATGATGTACTGAATTGAAAATTATCAATAGGAACTAGATAAAGTTGTATTGAACAATATTCGAATCATTTTAATCATTTACATATTCTGTACAAGTCAGTCAGCTACAACGTACGACCAGGCACATATATGCATCGGTCCAAGTTGCCATACCACATTAACACAACAAGATGAACACCGAATTCGTAAAAGTAGTTAATTGAATTGTGGTAATATATAAAAGAAGGATTGCATATAAGAATATAATACAGGAAGAAAGAATTAATTCGTAGAAAGAAAGATATGAAGCGATTTTAATCTCTTAGTTTAAGGGAAGACAGAGAGTGTTATACACCAACGCCATTGTGATCGATTCTGAGCCGTGTCACCAAGAGTTTCCAACCATAAAATACAAGTTGAATGCTATCAACTTTTATAATTATCTAAGTCTAATGTATGTGAGTGTTGATGAGAAGCCATGAAATACATGTGAATAAGTCGATTGATTTTGCTGTAGAAAATACACTTTTATTCTCTTTATAAAAGTTCAACTCATAAAACACAGCTCTTTTGAATATAATGTTATTATTATCAAGGTAGAATATTGACTATTGCACTCTTTAATTAAGCTCAAACGGTTGGTTTATTATTAACAACTACTCAGCAGTTAGCAAACGAATCGAGATGCTTGATTCTTATTGTGAAATGTGTTATGTTCTTGTGCTAAACAATATCGTGAAATATGATTTGCCAATTTAGATACACTGACTTATAACAAGCAAACTAATGACGCATAAACCTGTATGAGTAGTCTAGAATTTCGATTGGTCTTTTTTCCACCTAGCCCTGCCTGTTAAATCCAGAATGCTAATATCATACTCCGCGATACGAATCATATATTTCAGATATACCGGGTTTATATACAAACAAATCCCATCATAAAGTAGAAAATAACAATTGTACAAGATCAAGCCAAAAGTGGCTGTGATTGTGAGAAACTGTTACTAATAAATTGGGAATATCTCCAGAATAGGCTGTTGGAATATACTATATAAATAGAAAAGTATTTAATACCAACTAACCATTTACTTTTCTTCTTTAAAAATGCCTTCTCTGACATATTAACCAAATAAATCACTGGTTTCGATGTGATAAATAAGTGCTCATTAAGAATCTCCACCTAGATGAGGGAAAAATCAGAAAAATGGTGATAAAATAGTCGAAAGGTTGATTATTGTTCGAACTATTTAAAGAAATTTTACAATTTGTTGAACATTCTGCTCACATACCATTGGGTGGTGGGTAATGCCTAATGTCATGTGATCTAGGAGAGAGAGATTGATTACTAATACAGTGGTCTTGAGTGCTGTTAGAGGTATGAGGGCGGTTTTCACTTCCCGGTTGCCCACACCGTGGAAGGGTTCTTCTAGAGGTACCTGAAAAGGAAATTGCATTAGAGGTGGTCTTAGTGACCTGAAAGCGTGATCGCAGTGTTCAATGGACAACTGCTTGAGGTCGGTCACACACGACCTTTTTATGAGTAATTTCTGTGTTAGCTCTGTACTTGTTGAGACTTTGCCGCCGGAGACGGCATCCGTGGGATAGGGTAAGGTGTGCATTTTTAGGGTCGACCTTTTCTAACCCCAACCCTCTTTGTGGGAAGGCAGCATCGCTGTCAAGCTGGTTGTCTGGAAAAAACACCTTACTGCTGTCACACCTATATACAGTCAGCAGTACGACTTCGCCTTCGGACCTTGGGTTTGTTGCTTTTAGTCTTACCGCTCTTCAACCGGCCTGTCTGACATGGTAGGACATTGAGGAACGGTTGTTCCAGCCAGTATAGCTCAGTTGCTCCATCACGATAGCCAAGCCCGACCACCACGTCAAGGTAGCAACAACGGTCATGTGATCTAATTATGCAAAGTTTCAAATAAACTCTCTCGATTAGGTTTGACAATTGAAACTACACTGTTCAACAAAAAAGTGGTGTTGCAAGTCATGTCATGTTGGTTAATCAAGTGTAATCATAGCAATAAACTCTAGAGTTTCATGTAAATTAGCACGTAAAAAAATGCTAGTCGGTTAGATCTATCTAACGTAATAATATATGAGATTGTTTCCTGTTCAAATTGCAAATTGATAATGCTTTTGACCTTAAGAGTTTTACAAGTGTTTTAATTATGAAAAAAAATACTATTTGTAATAAGCCATGATTTGATAAACGGAATTTTAGATTGTTTAGTAAATAAGCCCAACGCTAATCCATAGATGAGTATCATGTACGCATTACTTTTGTTAGCGGTATATAAATTGGATTAAAGTACGTTCCATGCACGCTGACCACATATTTCTTATCCAATCAACGCTAGTGGATGCTTGGAGAAGACTTCAGAATCTTCTCATGTAAAAACTATAAGTATACTAAAGTTTTTCTTATTGTGTTTCTTACTTCCATCTACCCTTGTTATTTAGGATATAATTTCGTTCCTGTTCAACCGTGTTCTGATTTGGGGACTTGTTGAGTGAATTGGTGTCCAAGAATACTAACCAACAGGAATAGATGGGTCGTAATAAGAGAAATGATAACGCCTTTAAAGGAGACTGATCTCATCTCTGTTGCCACTGTTATGGACGGGGTTTTCTTCAATATGATTTAACAAAAGTTTTGATTGTTGAAATTAATGAATACAATGCTAAACGATGTATGATATAGTGTGACCGAATGACGGATACTCACGAGACTGCATTATTAGAAATCAAAGACAAGATAAGCAGCCAGATGGGTAGCTTTTACGTAATAAAATAATATATATATATATATATATATATATATATATATATACACGAAATTGAGAGGACGAAAAGCGAATATCCACCGCCTTGACCGGGTTAATGGATATGGAAGATCTTAATAGGGGTTGTTGGAAAACCCTCATTCCAAACCAATGGTGCACAGCACACGGTCTCCAGGATCCTGAGGGAACAAATGGTGTATGAACCTATCGTTAGTCAATGGCTACTATGAGACTGTATCTCCTGATGTTGCCCCACTACCTTGTGGGTCAGACGGTTAGATCGAAGGCTCTGGGTGTGACCCCCTAAGAAAACCACCTGCTTCGGTTTGAGTACCCGGGCAGTATCCCAGCCCTCAAATAAATCAAATGATTTATGTAGCGCATATCTATTTGGTGCCTCCTTGTACCAGTGTTTATGTTTAAATTATATATAAGTATATCGTTCACAAAAAACAAGTATCTCGATAAATTTGTAGATACAGATCACAATTTACAACACCCCAAATACACAAGTATCCTGCTTAACAATTAAGTTGAAATTTTTACAAATTTGAATTTGTTGTATTAAAAAAAATTAGACAAAAGCACAACCAAACTTACCTCAGTTGGAGTCCAATCACCGAAACGAACATTTCGTTTATCATTGACTAACATATTTTTAACTTTTGTAAGACACTCATAAGCAGGCATTTGTTTTTTATCATTGCCTCGAATAACTACTTTTTCACATTTCTCCCACTCTTTAGTAACATATTCAATATCTTTGAGACGTAATTCTTCATCAATGATATCTAAATCACGTACAGGATCAATATCACCTTCAATATGAGTGATGTCTTCATTTTCAAATAATCCTTTTTTTAAAGAATGCATTGAGATTTTTAAAAGCTTATGAAATGATCATTGTGTATACTAAATAATAATTAAATTTTTTGGACAAGTCAAATCTAACTAACATTGAGAGGTAGAATAAAAGACAAAGATCGAAAACTTACTACCAAATTACTGGAGATTGGTTCGAAATACCGTTAGCTAGTAATTTCAATCCAAAAAAACAATGTGCCTCTAAATGCCCTCGTATGGCCGAGAGCGGCGTGAGCCCGCCATCCCTCTCGAAATGCTCTCACACGGCCACGCGTATACAGCCTCTGCCAGGGAAGTCCTACTCACTACCTTCTTTCACCAGGGGTGTTGTTTACGAAATTGAGAGGATGGACCTCAAACCAATGGTGCACATGAGCTCCAGTATCCTGCGAGAACAAATGATGTATGGGCCAATCGTTGGTCATCGGCTACCATAGGACTGCATGTCCTTACGTTGCTCCACTGCCTTGTGGATCAGACCTTCAGGTCGAAGGCTCCCCAGACCAAAACATGGCACAAGTTCATGAAGTCACTGACAAGTGGACTGAGTCATGTTGGTAGGTGTAGACTACCTGGTTGGGGACCGCGAGATGATAGCAACCGTTGGTTAGAGACCCTGAATGACATGGCTCAAAATCGTTTGCAATGGCGCAGGTGCAAACACTCTTTGTGTTCTCCCAAATTTTGATCTCCTTATTCCTCCTTGTCTCTTTTTTTCTCTTCCCAAATTTATTTCACTGTATTATACTCTTTAAATAACATCTCCAAACACTAGTTTTCCCGATTACTGCTTATACTCTTATTGCCTCTACCACTACGGGATTTGAATCGCCACTGCATCTCTGTGATAATGTGGTGTGGCAACTCGAAATGATGTACGTACGTACGAAGTTCTACGTTGTTACTGACTGACTGACTCCAAGTGTGGCCCCCTAAGAAAACCACCTGCTTCGGCACCCGGGCAGTATCCCAGCCCTCGCACAAACCGGATGATTTATGTGACGCAAATGTATTTGGTGCCTCCTTGTACAGATGTTTATGTGTTTAAATAAATAAACAAATAATAAAAACAACGTGGGTGCATTCCTTTCAATTTCCTTGAACGTTTAAACATATAAATACATTACATTTATGTTCCCCTACTTATATATCATTAGTATTTATGTGTCATTGTGATGTGATAATTGGAAAGTTTGAATTAAAGTATAGTTTTACGTTGTTATTTTGAACTATTTTTTGGCTCGATCAATAACGTTGGGTGAGAATCATATTGAGTAACAGAAATTCTTAAACTAGTGAGTGTGTGATTAACTAACAAGTTATATATCAGGCTGAAACAAAGTCATCTAGATGACATTACACAAACGATTACAAGTATTCAACCAATAATTTCTTTGAAGTGTTGTTCATACAATATAATTCCATTTGTTAATATTAAAATTAGGCCTAAAGTATTAGGATGCCTCTAAAAAAATATAGTAAAACGATCCTAAGTAAAAAAAAAATGAAAGCTAAGAAATAAGTTGTAACCTTTTGAATTACAAATATTAGCATTGTAGAAGGCTGTTAACTAAGGATACAGGATCTTTAAAATAAATGGAGTTGGCATTTGAAATTCATCAAAAGTACGATATGAGTTAATTTACTGTAACGTAATTACATATGCTCTCGTATATCTTCTAGGAAATGGGTATATACTTATACATTATCAAATTCCACCTTTGAAAACTGCCCCTACTAAGGAACTGAAGTCAATGTGCATTTGTAAACGCTCACGACTAAAAATACGAAATGAACTTTCAAACATTTATACGTCGCGCACTTTGATTTGTAATTCTTAGCACCAACATTAACCTAGAGTCAGGAAAAAACTATGTTTTAGGATGTTACTACAAACAAATTTAGCAATGTTGACCTTATCATCCAATGATCCTAATTACTATTTACACATATTTTTATGCAACATGTTCTCGTGATTCTGATATTCTGTTTAATATGTATAAAATGCATTCCACTAGTTATAACCTATAAAAATTGATAAGATTATTTAGAAACCATATCTGACTTCTTATTGAAGTTACAACTACATATAGGCATACTTAGACGGTCAGATACCACTTACGTGTACTGTTTACAAGCCAGAATAACGAGAATTACTATGCTGTAGTAGTGGACCTTAACATTTGAATAAAGATCTCCATAAAATGGCTAGGAAAAATCATCAAACACTAACTAAATTTCCTGTAATTTGAAACGATATTAGTTAATCACTTCATAGGTTTAAATCATTAACAATTTAGCATTTTTATCACGACATGAGAATAAGATGTCATTAAAAAAGTGAAATCTGATAAAACCTGACAAAGTTAACCAAAAGTATACAACTTTCCTTTATAAAAAAGATATACAAACCACAGATATTAGGAAATATCTAGATAAATTCTTATCGTATATTTTGAGAATAGTTTCAAAAGTAAATCAATAATCTTATAAGTTATAATTTAAATTTACTTACTTAACATATGGAAAATTGCATCAACACTGCGGATATGCGAAAGAAATGCATTTCCCAAACCTTGTCCTTCATGTGCACCTTTAACTAGACCAGCGATATCAACAACATTTAAGTAAGCTGGTACTCGACTAAATTATACCAAAATGAAAAATAAAAGTTATCTGATTAAAACTGGCTAAATTGAAAGGCGTTTATGAGTAGACAATTATGTAAAGAAGACAAATATCCACTGGTGTTGATGAATGTGTGAATTAATGAAAGTGGTTTTAACATTTAGTTTAGCAAATTATTCTAACTATAAGCTTCGATTTGTTTTATTTAACCCCATTATATTCCAATAATAATATCGTCTTATTGATGAAAACAAACCCATTGATGAGGTGAATCGGTAATGACTGATATCTCAAGATGTGTATGCATATACAAATACGCGCAATGGTAACTGTCGTAAAAAGTGGAAGAAAGTCAAGAACAGTTTGAGTAAGAGGTGATAGCAGTTCATGGAGTCACTAACTACTGATAGAACAATTTTTAACCGGAAACTACCTGGTTGGTCCCCGTATATTTGTGATAATTGGTTGGATAACACATTAAGCTAATGTGGTGTTATTGTGCCGATGCGCATTTATATAATATCTTCTGTTAATTATAACTGCATGGTATGTAGCATACCCATGTCCTTTATCATAATAGTCTACGCATTACGGTCATAAATTAAGTGAATTCGGCGCACAACAATAAGCCTTTCGACTGTAAGATTGATATCTCGCCAATTGTGCACACATATCAATAACTCAATTTACCAGTTTTAACAAATAACTGGATATTTTATTACTTACGCCTGTTACCCCTCATAGAGGAGCATAGGCCGCTCACCAGTATTCTCCACCCAACACTGTCCTGAATGATCCTTAACAGTTGACATTCACTCTTTTGATGTCTGCTTCCAATTCCCGACATAGCACGTCGTTTAATCTTCTTCTCTTCCTTTTGTATTTAAGATTCCAAGTTAGGGCTTGCTTCGTGATGTAGTTTGGGGATTTCTATAGTGCATGTCCTATCCACCTCAAGACTTTTTTCCTGATTTCCTATTCAGCTGAAAGCTGGTTTGTTCTCTCCCATAGTAAGCTGTTGTTGATGGTATCCAGCCAAAGGACATTCAGTATCTCGTAGACAATTGTTTATAAACACTTGCATCATTTTGATGGTGGTTATAGTGGTTCTCCACATTTCAGCTCTATACAGTAGAATTGTACTGATGTTCGCATTGAAGATTGTGACTTCGATGTTGGCTGATAGTTGTTATGACTTCCATATGTTCTTCAACTGTAGATATATTCCTAGCTTACATATATAAGCCAATTCTAGGCATTATTAACACTGAAATCGTTTCTTATCATGGACTTCATGATCATATCTCTGAGTTGAGTGCTAATACTCTATATGAATTTTCGCATTCTTTTGAGTGCAGACAAAGATGCTTGAGAATCATTGAGTAGTTGCAAATGATCCTTAAATGGGTTTTGCTCCCGAATGCCATGGCATGGCCTGGGGTAGGGAGAGTTATATTTCCCTTTCCAAATGCTTTTGCATGGTCACGCGTATACAGCCACTACCAGGGAAGTCCTACTCACTATTGTTTACAAAATTATGAGAACGAAAAGCGAATATCCAGCGCCTTGACCGGGTTGGTGGATATGGAAGATCTTAATAGGGGTTGTTGGAAAACCCTCATTCCAAACTAATGGTGCACAGCACATGGTCTCCAGGATCCTGAGGGAACAAATGGTGTATGAACCTATAGTTAGTCAATGGCTACTATGAGACTGTATCTCCTGATGTTGCCCCACTACCTTGTGGGTCGGACGTTTAGGTCGAAGACTCCGGGTGTGACCCCCTAAGAAAACCACCTGCTTTGGTTTAGGCGCACAGGCGGTATCACAGCCCACATACAGATCAAGTGACTTGGGTGGCGCATATGTATTCGGTGCCTCTTTGTACCAATATTTGTGTTCAAATAAATAATTAATTAATTAACTGGTTTTTAATTATATATGCAGACAATATGGCATAATTGGATTAATGAAGAGGTGGTTGTTGCAAACGGTGTGTACGAGATAAATACTGAGAGATTACGTCCAGATCTCTTGAACTATCTTATTTTTCTTTGATAATGTTACTGAATCTTTAAATTTAGCCCCACGAAGTTGGAGTAACCTATACATTTAACTCTGATCCTAACAACAGTTCATTACTGAGTAGTCTGAGAATACAACCAGCCTTTCAAATGATTGCAACACTTTGATTTACACGAAACTTTTGGTCCAGACAAGGCTTAAATGAATGCCAATTACTAGTGAGTCAAAAAGTGTGTTCCTTCGGCTTGGTTTTACTACGTAGCCAGAAATTAAAAACCAACAAATTATCACAAGACACTTGAAAAGCAAGCTGTTTCTTGCCGTAAGTGCAGAAACCAAATAATTCAACGAGAATATTTTAAGGGTTGACAGTGGAAAGAAGACAGGAACTAATTCGCTCCATGTATGCATCACAGAGTCAAACAGTGGATGTACAATAACAATAGCAACCGAGTAAAGTGACTACGTGCACTTTGAACATTTTTAAACTGGATATTGTATTTTATCATGTCAATTGTAGGACATAAGAAACTCACCTAACAGGTTGGTGATATTCACAAAGCCAATCGAATCTTTCATCTGGAACTGCAACACGACCTTAAATACTTTAATTGGCTTATTCATGTGAATAAACCTACTTTCATTGGGATTAATAGTGCAAAATGGAAAATTCTCGGCGGGGACTTGACTTTTAGTGAGAATATTGAAGAATGTAGATTTTCTAAACTACATTAGAAATTTTAAAGCGACCAACCCAACGTTCGGGAGGCCAACTACACCACATTTCAGATTAGTACCGATTCTCCCAAGCAAAACAGCTTTTTTTGGCACATCGCCTTTCTTCTTAGACATTGGTATGAGGGTTAAATGAGCGCCAAAACCTTCAAGGCCGGCACGATCACGTTCAAATTGCCCCCCAATCTGTAGTAGCGAGAGTAGAATGTCAAATGTGTTAATTCTTGCTATTTATAGTGCTTAAAAGGATCTGTCTCGCTTTAGTTTTTATACTGTCTGAAATCATTCCCCAAAAATAGTACAGTCCTCAATGTTATTATACACTGACGATGAAAAAGTCTGGCGAGTAATAACTGGTGGCGCGGATGCATGTACTCTTCAAGAAGACTTAAATAATATGATTATTTGGTCTACAGAGTGGCCGATGCATATTAACGCGGCAAAGTGTGTCCACATGCAGTTTGGAGACACAATGGTTATTAGGTACAACATAGGGGAAGCGCCAGTACCTGTGGTCCGGTCTCGCAAGGATCTAGGGATGACAGTGAGTCATGGTCTTAGGACGACGACTCATTGCCGAGAGGTCGTAGCTAAGGGGTTAAGAACCATCCGAGCTTTTATACGAACATCCACTTAGTTAGATACTTCCATGTTCATCACAGTATACAAAACCTAAGTGAGAATTAAGATTGAGAATTGTGTTCAGGCTGGAAGCCTCTGATTAAAAGGTGAATCGGATATCCTGGAAAAAACATAGAGGGCATCTATCTGTGCAATTTTGGAACACCGGGATTTACCAAACGAAGAGCAGCTTGAAATGCTAGAACTCATTACTCTGGTCTATTGCAGACTAAGGGGGATCTAATTTTGATGTACAGAATACTGAGAAGTGATTTTGGACCCAACTTATTCTCTCTTTTTCGTCTCACTAGGTGGGAACATCTCAGAGGACACAGCAGACGAGTGGAAAAGTCAAGATCGAATAAAACACCATTGAAATACAGAATCACACCGATTCATCAATACTTGGGACCTGTTTCTTGAAGCTGTGTTGTTAGTACCTTCAATTGACTCATTCAGAAGACTAGACACTGACAGAAGCATACTAGAGAAGGACTAACATGTGCCGTAGGTCTTTCATCATTACTACACAAATCTGAATTTAAATGTGTTCTTGGTTTTGATTTTTATAGAAATGTCATTAATATTTGAATGAAAAATGTAGTATATACCAATATCAGTGCCATCATCCAGAATAAAGTATCTAGATATTCAGTCTTCCCTTTACAGATGGGATGATATGTCGAGGCCTCTCAGCTAGTTTTCATACGACTGATAAAAGAAGATTCATCACGTTATTCCCTCACCATTCATCTTGCTTCAGCATATCCCCCTTGACGTTTGAAACAAGGGGTCATCATCTTCTTCACATGATCTAGGTTCAGTCGGATAGAATATTTCAAACATCACCCCCCACAAGCTTCAAAAACCTTTCCCGAAACCATGTACATCCTTGTCTTAAAGGTCATTTCCTTCTACATAATTTAAAATAACCACCCGAATAATCTGTACCATTAGTTTGACAACTACACTAGTTAGACTAACAAGTCGATAGTTACTGACTGAGTTTCTACTCGTCGCTTTATAAACCAGGCTGATAAATGTGTATTTCTAGTCTCCTTACAAGTTAGATTGCGTCAAAGATATATCATCCAGTTTATTCGGAGGTTCAGCTTTCATGATTGTAGGATTAATATCGTCAGAACCACTGAAATTACTTGGTTTGAAATGTTGAAGTGGTAGTAAGATAACTTCCTTACCAATAACACGGAATTCACTAACATGCCGCTATTATCACAAATAATTATCGGTTTTTCACAATCATCGGTAGAAAATCATTTCCGAAAATATTGTGGCGAAGTTCCAGCTTTCGGAACATTATATTTTGACAATGCTAATGGATTTTCTTATACTAAAAGTGGCATGATCACATTGCTCCTCTGAGTTCGTCTCTCTACATACGAGATCTACTGTTTCAGACTGTTCTCACAACACTTGCCAATTGTTTTTACATGAAAGTCTAGTCCTACTTATCAATTCCTTGTAAACGTTTGCAGCCTTATAATGAAAGGATCGATACTGTTCAAAATCTGTAGGTACACATGTAACAGTTTCGTTTGGTTGGTTGAGAGTTCACCTCAAACAACTAAGCATATGTCAAAACAATATAGTTCAAGTATTAATTCACTTTATTTCGTTTAGGCGTTATATTTCCTATTATCTTAAATTGAATGTTGAGAGGCTTTGTTTGTCTTAACAAATAATCCCACGCTCCACTGTGACTGCGCGGAGATCTAAATGAAGATCTATTCACTATTTGTCTAGTTTCTTCTGTCAGTAGCACGAGGGTTACCTAGGGGCATCAAACACATACTACAATGCTATTTCCTGAGTCAGAGAAGTTTTTTAATATGTTTAGTCATTCATGGTGGGCAGTTACAACATCCACGTGGCACCAAGCATGGTATAGGCGGAGACGTAGCTAAGTAAAGTGTGCCTTTAAATGTGGACCATGTTTCTTCAATCTTTCAGCTGTTTACTGACCACTTTGTTGTTGCAGCACATTACTTTATAGCTGTTATGTTTGCTCCTCACATACCTAGGTGAGGTCCAACCTGATCGCATACTGTCATGAGCACCAAACATAAATAATAAAACGTAGGGTCGTTGTTTGCTAACGGCGGAGGAATATTTAGACAGGGAAAACCCTCGGCCACATTGGAAGCACGTGATGATACAAGTTTTATTGGTGATTCGGATTGATGTCATGAATGAGCCCGGACCCTCACATTATCAAAGGAACTGATATATTACATGTAGAGTATGGATTTGCAACAATCTGCTATCTCTCCACTTTCATACAGTGATTATGAATAGTCTACGAAGCAATAGGACCAAACTTGTCTTACTCGTGGAAATTCATCAACTATCTCCTGAAAATTATTTAGGAACAAGAGAAGTTTGTTTACCACCAGTCTTCTAGACAGTCCACTTATATTGTCCTAAACACCTCAGGAACTGGAGGCTTGACCGATTGCACTAGATATTTCCCTTATAATGTAAATAAATAGTCCCTTGAATTGCGTGTCATCGTGCCTAGCAATGTTATGTCATTTTTGGGATGTAATACAATTTTTGGAGAGGCGTGCAAAACGACAACTTTCCGATAAACAATTACGCAAAAGAGAATGCGATGTTTGCACCAAAGCGTACTCAAAATGGTTTTAAACAATGTTTCTAGGATTTCAGACGTCAATAGGCCACATAACTATGCGAATACTACGAACTCATCCAGACCAACTGACACTCAACCAACCACTAGCATTTCGAACTGAAATATCAGCCATGAGCAAAGTTGTGGTAGAGTCAAATTTGACCTGGGCCTAGCTTCTCATCCATCCCAAGATTTTTACGAAGTGCTCCACTCATCTGTTCCTCTGCCCATGCATCTTAGTGATTCTTCTTGACCAATTTCTCTGGTCCACTATGATTCTTTGCTAGTCTCTTTGTTATATCGTATAGTTTTTTCATATTTCCTTCTTTTGCAGTTTTTCTGCTGTCATTGCCATGTCTTCCACATATTTCTGCTTGTCGGCTCCAATGCTCTACTTCACTTGTTTGTTTGTTTCTGTGTATTCATCTTATACCTCGACTTTTTCTGCTCTTGTTCGGCGTTGTTAAATACTGTCTTCTTGTTCTTCCTTTCCTGAATCTTAGCCAGGATTACCATTTAGATCTGTTCCTCATGATGACACTGTTTGTGGCCCAACATCTCCTTACACTTTGAAGTTGGTGCTTCCTCGATACCGTTCCATTTGTCTTCCATAGCAGTTTGTTCTTCATTCAGTAGATTTAATAGGGCATGGTAGCTATTGTTGAGAGTTATTTTGAATTCGTTGTGTTTATATATTTAAAAAGACTGTGTTAAACCTATGTAATGCTGTTTTTCCAAATTACCATTATCTCTTTAGTTTCAGTTTCGTCTTGACCACAACAAATCGGTGGATCTGAAACTATGTCGACTCCTCATCTGGTTCTCACGTCTTCCATTATCCTTCTGAATTTTTCACTGATGCAAATATAACCGATGTTGTTCTGTGTAGTGTGTTCTGGTCAGACCAGTGTAGCTTGTGCATGCGTCTGTGTGGGAATATTATTCCAACTACAAATATTCTGTCGAAGGCACGTTAATTTCAAAATCTCTCTCCATTTTCGGTCTTTTCCATGTCGTCCCGTGATATTTTCATACTCGGTGTCATTCGTTCTGACCTCAGCTCTTAGTTCTCCAACCGAGATTGTCATATTTCTCCCCCAAAGACGCTAGCAACCGTGTGTGTGCTTGGTAACTTCTTATCCAGAGAACAAAATCATTTCTTTTGAATCCATTCCTCTCTGTTCAGCTGTGTCTATTGTTTAAATTATTATTGGGACCGTCAAATTGTATCTCTTCATTTCTTTGTCTATTTAATTGGTTTCGCCGTTAACCCTCTCTGTTCGCACGTTCTAAGTATAGTCAACTGTGTACCACTTATCAGGTTCCTAAATTTTATTTATGATCGCACAAATGATGATGCGTTAGTGGGTAGCGAAGGCTTCAGCCATTTAGGATTTAATCCTATGATTAACCACATTATACTCAGACAGTTTGAGAGGTATGAAGACGAAGTTGATCCTGTTAATTTAAGTTTACTTTGTGACTTGTTTAAAGTATCTGGATGTGTAACCAGAATCTTGCGGTGTCACATACTGTCAAAGTATAAACCGATGAGCAATATAAAATAGATCAGTGAGCTTCATGCATTTGAATGTAAATGGATTTAAGATTCAGACTACCTACCAAGCTGTGCGTATCAGTAGTCTAAGTACGAGGATTTTTCCGCTAAATGTCTAGAATGTAGTGAGTTATTAGTTGATATGAATTTAATAACCGCGTATTTTATAGACTGTAGAATTCGAATTTTCCTTGGTTACCGTTATGACTTATTTAAGTGGTTGTGTGCTATAAAATGTTTTATAAAATGTTTGATGATCCTATATATATCATAAGTGATCTCAAAACAGAACATAGGGAGGATATAAGGTCCTTTTGAGGATGGGTTGAGAATGTAATGGCAAAATTACAAAGCAGAAGTGAGAAGAGT